GCCCAAGTCAGACAGTAGCCACGTAGGCACACGCACACACATCCTCTCCCCTCCGCCTCTGATTGATGAGTTAAATTGAGCCGATGGCTGTCATCCTGTTTTGGAGCATGACTAAGAATTTCCGGAAACAACATCGACTCATTTTCTCAATGCTGACTTGTTGAAAAACGACGTATTGTGGCGTAAGTAAGTAGTTCCGTCTACGTCAATACGACGCGGAGCCAAGTAAGAAGCCAATGACAACTGACCTAAATCTTCATCTTTCACCGCTTGCATATTGGCAGGAAGACGATTGACGATGACATTTTTCAAGTACTCTTTGATGCTGTTTGTATAACTGGGAATAAACAGAAAATATCGAATGTTATCAAGGGGTAAGGAAGAAAATACAAGTATGGCAAAATTAACACAGTGAATAAAAACGAAACGCTTCTTTCAAGAATTCTCGATGACTGTTGTCAGTGAGTTCTTCCAGTCGCATCATGATCGGTTATTCTCAATGGCTGGCTAGTTTACAGGGGCAGAATAACAGGTAAGCGAATCGAATTTACTGGTGCATCTTAGTTGAGTATGACAAGAAAACAAACCACACGAAAGTACAGAATACCGCCATGTCGCAAGCCCTATGTTCCCTGAGTCGGTGATGAAATGTGTGCAAACAAATTGCCAAGCTCGAGGAAAAGATGATAGCTACACATCAGGGGCAAATTGAGACCCCGGAAGGAGGGCAAACAGAAAACTCACGCTTTGGCAAACAAGAACTCCTCCGCGGTGAGATGAGGAGATTCCGAATCCGGTCGAGCACGCTCCTCGGCCAAAATATGTTCAGCGAAGCGTTCAATCTGTGTGAATCAATGGTACCCGCTGTTATGTACGGACTGGATGATACAATCGAATACTGTTCGATCATGTTTTTTTGTGAGAAATAAACGCGGTGATTAAGCGGCAACACATCAATCGGTGCATGCGGACACTTACTTTTTGGATGCGAATACGCATGTAATCAGTCAGAATAAATCGAACACGTTCAGCCTGGAAAACGGAGAGCAAACAGCATATACCGAACAATAGGTTAAGGCACAACCAATGAAGAGAGCATAATGGTGAATCGAAATATTCAACTATTACCCCAGAAGCACGGATTGCATGTTATTTTATAGATTATCTGTTTTACTCCATCAATGTTTTCATGTGATTGGTTCATTGGTTAAACCGGTGTTATAAGCCGGCAGATTATGATATTCAAGGTCTGGTTTCGTACTGTGCAACAAAAGTATATATTTGTTTAGTTCGAGGAAGCAGACTTAGACGAAGCAAGTAGATGAATTTCCATTTGGCAGGGTTCACAACCTATCATTATTCACCATCCGATGATAGTACTTACTAGAAACTGAAAACAAATGTGCCGTACCGTACAAGAACACTCGGCGTTTGAAAAATTAAAATATGGCTCCCGAAATGGAGAAACTCAAGTATAGTTGATACTGATCAGCATGTGCCAGCATCCGATCCCCTAGCGATCCAATTCATAAACAATCAGGTGAGAATTGAAAGGGAATAATGCTTATTTTTAGCTGATTATTATAACAAACGTTTCATGCAAGCAAGCAAACAAATACCAACATCGCCGAAGAAACACCAGGCACACTGCAAACCATGTGAATGACCAATGCGAACAAGCGTGGGAAACAAAACTGCAGCCCACGAACCTGCATCCGTTTAATCTGCGCACGCAAATCCCCCGGTGGGAATGTTTTAGCCTCAACATTAAGGCGATCTGTTTCGGACTGAACTAGTCCGAGTAGATCCGGATGGGCTGAAAGCAGGACAGGGGCAGCCTTTTCGTTGCGCCAGATCTAGAGAGCAGAAAAAACAAACAGGAATCCGTCTGTGGGATGCGTATAAACAACGGAAGAATAAAAATATCTAATGCCGGAAATTTCAAAATTTAAGTGAAATCCGGACGACTGCTTAATCATACTGTGCCACAAGCAAGCTGTGTAATCATTTTCAATGCACAAAACGCAGCATTACACTTATATACACAATGTGTTGTGGAAAACCAAAAAACTTTTCATTTTCATTTTACTTCCTATGATTGAATTCGCAAAGATACAACTTTCAGGAAGAGGGAAGCAGTCAATCAGCACAATGGGAAAAGTGAGGCTGTGGTGGTGGGATTCGAACACACGTTCCCGGGGTGACAACTTGATGTTACCACCGGGTCACCATTGTTTCAGTACAATAGGTGAAATTTTTGAACAACCGTTTCTTTCATTGTCGACTATTTGATTTATAAACGTTCGTGTACCGCAANACATCTTGCACGAGATGAGTGGACAAAGTCCGTCGACAATGACGAGCTCTTTAACGTAATTTATTTAGTCTTCTCCAAAGCATTTGATCGAGTAAACCACCAAATACTACTACGAAATCTCTACGATTACGAAGTAAGAGGCCTGGTTATCGACTGGATCAAGGAGCTTCTCCGGCAAAGACCCGTGCTCGGTCGTATTTATGATTCACTGACTGAACCTATCGCTGTTGTCCGAGGGGTTCCACAACGGATCATGCTGAGTCCTTGTCTTTTACTTGAATTTATAAACGACCTACTACACGCCCTTGGGCCGAATACACCACAATTAGCGGACTACGCTGAAATCTGGACAGCAGTAGCACACCCGGAGGATTATTTGGCATTCCAAGAGAACATCAACGCAGCCCACCGACGGTCAATCATCAATGACATTCAATTTGATGGTTCAAAACACAAAGTTATTAAAATGCGGCACAAGACACATGTTCTGGGGAACTAAACACTAACACTTGTCATTGACGAAAGGGATTTGGGAATTATGGTACAGGAAGACAGATGATGTTCCACACACTGTGCCAGAGCATCATCCATGGTTCCGAAGCACGTTGGATTACTTAAATATGCTCTCGGGCAGCTCGAAATAGCAGTGTTACCACAGTTGCTATCAGTGTTTATTCGATCACACATGGAATACACCGTTCCTGTATGGAATCCATGGTTGAAACATGAAAAGCGGGCTCTAGAACGTCTGCAAAAATGGTAAACGGTCTTTATAAGAAGAGACTGAAAAACTGAGAATATTGGGGCTGTACTCGTCTCCGAACCGTCAACTACGAAGAGTGGATCTAATGTTGGCATACCATATACTGCATCAACCTAACAACTCTTGCCGTTCTGTCTTAAATTTATCTCAAAATAGCCATCTTGGGAGAATCCATTGGAGTTCAGGACCCAGAACAGCCATCTAGACTGCCGGTATCAGTCATTTGCAGCCAGTGTGCGGTGTGTGCCAGGTGGTAGGCAGCCCTTCTGTCGCCCGGATCACTACCACGCTCAAGCTTTTGAGGTCTTAAGTGGTTTACCATTTCAAGTCTCGGTTGGGTTGCCGATCTTCTCTCACATCACAAATTACAGAACCTACACAAAACGCACTCACAAAAATTCATAGCCCTCACTAAAATTCGCGGTTTAAATCGAAATGTTAATTCTGTAAACCACTTTCTCCAATCGTCTTTCCCCCTGGTTTTCTTTTTGACTGAGACAAATCTCGCCCTCGTCAAAGACTACCGGGTCTCAGTTCCCTTCAGTTCAGTTTCAGTTTTACAACCATTAACCATGCACTTTTCGTGCGCCGGTTTTCGTTGCCCATTTGGATAAAATAGCGAAATGAAGATTGGAATGTCGAAGCAA